CGCGCTGCCGCCCCAGCGAGCCTGGCTCCTCCAGGAAGTTTTTTATTAAATATACATCCTCTGTTGGCACAAATCTTAAAATATATAAACATTATATAACAAAGTGTCTTCACTGCAATAAAATAGAACTCCAGATCCAAGAAAAGCAGTCCGAATCGCCACGCGCACACACACGCTGCGGGGGACGCGTCCCGACGGAGGCAGGGAGCAGCGTCCACGTGGGGAGGAACCGGCCCCTCGAGGGGAAAACGGCTCCTTGGGACAAGGCCACCTCCTCTCGCGGCTCCTTTTGGCCTCACTTTGGGGCCCAGGCTACGAGGGGGTTTCACGGGAGAACCCCCGTTTTTGCAGAATTTTGGCACTGCGCATTCCAGCGCATTCCTGTGCCTCTGCCTCCAGGACTGCGCTCCGGAGCTCCCCACCACGGCCAGCGCCGGCTCCCCGCTGTCCCGGCCTTCCCGGAGGGAGCGCCGGCGGAGCACGGAGCAGAGCAGCTTGCGGGAAGCCGGCTCGGGGCCGGCTCCTGCTCCTGCTCCCGCTCCCCAACCCGCCCTCGGCGCCTGCAGGAGCGGCTCCCGCAGGCCTCTCCGCCCGGGGAGCTCCGGGACACGCGGGCAGCACGTGGGGCTACGGAACGGAGGAGCTCCGGGAAGCAGCAGCACCAGCAGCGCGCGGGGACAGTGCCAAACTGCAAAATCATCCGAGACCCTTCCCCAAAAAACCCAAATCTTTTGCTCCAGCACCTAGTGCCTTTCCGCTCCTGCTCCAGACACCAACATCCTCCCTTTTCTTTAGGAAGCCTGGGCAGGATGCCCCTCACGGCTGCACTTTTGTCACCGTGGATGCATTTCATTGGACCTGATTTCCTTGAAGTGCTAGTGCGGGTCTAAAGGTGCAGAAGCAGGAGGGAAGGAGAGGAGACGAGAAAGGAGCACGAGTTAATGTTTGGCTGCTGATGCACCGAAGAACAATGAGACACACGAGTTCAAAACAAAAGCAAGAAGTTTGAGAAGAGCAATATGAAAAAAATGGGGAGCTTAAGACAGCTAAAGAAAAGAAAAGAAAGAAAGAAAACCTAGAAAAAAGATGTAGGGAAGGTTCCTGCTAGACTTGCCTTCGTTCCCAAGGCCACTGGCCCTCCCTCTCCAGCGAGGGTGCCCCAAACTCCTCGGGCACTGGCTCCAGGAACACATCTCCATTCAGGCAAGGATTAAGGGAAGGGAAGAGAACACTCTGTTTCTCCTCTCCTGCATTCAAACCAGAGGGGAAAAAGAAAAAAGCTATTTAAAACACCCCAAAACAAAGACACACAGTTCCTTTCAACTTTTGCCCAAGAAACAAGAGCACCAAAGTCATCGCAGACTGAATTCAGATGCGTCTCTGAACAAGCACTCAGCCGGCAAAGCCTGGAGAAACCTGGAGAAACACTGGGAAGAGCCGCGGCCGGAGCCGGTGCTCCCGCGCCTCCCGAGCTCCCGGTTTCCTCTCCCGGAGGCCTCCGCGGGCCTCCCGTTTGTTTAATGCATTAGCTGCAATCGTGACACAGATGAAAGACCCCTGTGCAGATCTGCCCCTCGGGAGGCACCCAGTGTAAACCCTGGCTAGGGATCCGGGAGGAATTCCCTCTCTTACCACGGACCCGGCGACGTGGAGCGTCGTTCCGGGCCTGCAAGGGGGGCAAAGGAGCCGTCCCCAGCGGAGCTGCCCCGTCCCGGAGCCGAGGGCGGCCCCGGCCGGACACGCGGATGCGGAGCCGCCGCGGCTCCCTGGAACGGCGACACCGCCTCGGCGTCTGCTCGCGGGGCCGCACACGATACACACAAGAGCACAAGTAACCGGCTTCTCCACTGGAGAAAAAGAAAAAACTGAAGCTCTTGCGAAGGACGTAAGGTTCACCCATGTGAAAACATCAGCTGATCATCTCCTAATCTTCATTAGCAAGGGGAGCAAAACGTTGACAGATTTTGTGGCTATCATCTATGCAGACCGGTAAGACAACAGCTACCTTTCTTTACCTACAAGGTAACTCAGTGATTGCAGTCAAGTTTCACAACGGAAATAATCGTTTGTGGGCTTAGAGGCAGAAATTACTGAGGTTAATACCCTGCCCATCCACAACCATTAAAGTATGATTGATCCCACGTGTTCTGGGAACATCGTGCACGCTAACGCTTCAGCAAGCTGGCTCTCCACCATGGCCACAAAAGGGAAGTGTAGGTGCTTAATTCCTAGGGAAATATTTGGCATTAGAAGCAAGATCTGCTCCAAAGAACAAGTGCAAAGACAAAAGAAAGGAGAAAGCTATTTCTACCAATTGTGCAATTACCTTCATTCCCATTAATAAAGTCATGATACAAGGCTCAGACTACAGGGGCCAAAGTATTTACACCAGAGAAGGACAACTTTGGGATCCTACCTTAATTTTCTTTTACATGTCATCTCCCTTCTATATCTCCAAATTTAATGTAGGAATGGAAACTCCTCAAATCTCCATTTCCCTAAAAAGTATTGACTTAAAACAGGAACGCTGAAAGGTTGTCATTCACTTGCAGATTGCAAGTAGATGATTGGCACTGTATGCAATTTCAGAGGAGTCAATACTGGCTGTGGAGCTTATTCTCCTGAGGACACTGTTGGTCCAGAAGAACTATAAGAACACAAGCAGGTGGCTTTAGGTGTGAACGAACGTACAGAGGTGACAGAACCTACACAGCAGGCACCAAAAGACAACAGCGTTGTTTGGAAGTCAACTACTACGCTGCACTCACCAGACAAGAGCAGCCTTTCGGGATACAGGTACCTCTGCAGCACGTGTGCATCTTGGAGTTGTTCGGCCTCGCGTTGCGGATAAAGCAGCAACAATAACACTGAAGGAAATAATTACTTAAAACGGAAGTATGTAACACTCCTCGTCTAGGGCATGATCACTACAAACTGCCACGTCCCTCAGAAAACGCTGCCTTTAAGACCAGTGAAGGGTTCAGATGGCCCAAAAACACTGCGGGGGTCTGAGCCAACCCAGCTGGGGAGCCCGGGCCCCTCGTGAGCGACGCTGACAACAGACATGAGAACTGATTTACAAAACTGCTCAGAATTTTCCTCCCCTGCTGTCCACAGTCTTTGGTAATCTCAGAGGGACACTGCAAACAAGGGACATCTTATGCAACTCAACTCAGAAATGAAAATAACATTTGAGAAAGGGCAGCATTTCCAGCCAGACTCACGCTCAGCTTTCAGAGTAAAAGAAGTGACCTGGACCTGTTAAATCCTGCTGTGCCCTGCTTCAAGGAGACCAATGCTTACTGATCAGAGGAATGTGGAATTCCCCAGGCAGATTAACTGGAATATTGCACTTGGCAAACTGCCTCCAGCCAACACATGTGCAGTGTTAAGAACTGCCTACCCAGAGCAGCAGGCCCTTTCCAGAGTGGGGGGCCCATCTGAACAGCACCAAGTCTCCTCCTTCATCCTCCACCTCTTCATCTGCCCAGAGACCAGCCGAGGAGCCCGAGCAGCACGTGTTTGTTTGAGGCTCCACTCTGGCATCACAGAGCAAAGCAGAAGGACGAGGCAGCTACTCTAGAGAACACAGCTCTGCACAACTGCAAGAAGAATTTCAGTTAGGAAAAGGTTAGTTTCAGGTCAAGTTTTCCAAACAACTCAGAGGCTCATTAAAAGGAGAAAAAAAAAAAAAAAGGAACAAAAGGGAAAAAAAAAAGAAACAGAAAAAAGAAAGGTAAGTTCTCAGCTGCAGGAGAGCACGTACAAAGCTTGGGAATGCTAGCACTGCTCTTTGTACGCGTACGTTGTACTTCTCCCCAGCAAGGGCTGCGGGGATTAAGCTACTACCTTTGGACGTTAGTGCTGTGCTGTAATTTACGGAGCAGGATCTGCATCAGGTCAAAGGTGGTGAAGCTTATTCCCACTGCAATCGGCCCTTTGACCCAGTTCATGCTGAGTCCTTTGTACAAGCCACGGATCAGTCCTTCTTCTCTTACAATCTCCTGCATGGTGAGAAGGATGGAGCTGTACGTGTGTCCCATGACCCCGGCCGTCTGCATCCGCCGGCGAACCACGTCCAGGGGGTAGGAGGCCGACTGGCCGATGAGGCCTGCGCAGGCACCGAACAAAAGCCGCTCCGGAGGGGATGGCTGAGATTTCCCACTGTGATCTGGGAAAGAGAAAGTGGCAGAGTAGAGAAAGCTTCTCCTAATAAACACGATTAAGGTCAGGTGGGATGAGAGCCAAAGAGAGAACTGAGTGCCAGAACTCCGGAGATTCCGTCCCCAGGGACGCAGGCAAGTCCGTCCACATCGGGACGTCTCTGCAAGGCAGAGATGCTGCTCGCCCTCTTCGGAGCGAGGACCTGCAGAGAGGAGGCACGAGGCATCCTCTGCAAGCACCAAACTGAGCAGCTGGCTTCAAAGCTGGCAAAAGGTCTTGTACCACAGAGCACAAACGCCGCAAATTGGCCCAAAGCCTACGCCGTGTCACTCGAAAGCAAAGCAAACAAAGTAGTCTTTACCTGCATGTAGCTTCTTCAGCGTCTCATAGGTGAAGAAACTTAGCCCAGCATATGGGATCACTCCAAGAATCGTTGGCGTGAATCCTCTGTACAATGTCTTCAGTCCTTCCTCACGGGATATTCGGATGAAGACATGAACGATATTGCTGTACCTAGCACGTGGACACAGGGAAACAAAACCTGTGCTGGTTAGCGCCGGCACATGCTGGCAGCAACTTCAGCTGGACTCCGGAGGACCAGCAATTAATTAATCTGTCTCTGAGCGCATCAAACAGCTCAGAAGGGATTTAAGAGGCCTGTCTGCAAATGGAGAAGCCAGTCACGGGCTCTCCTACCGCCCTATCACCACACGCTGCCCTGTCAGGGCCAGCAAACACAGAAGTTTCAGTGAGGTCTTTCAGTATCGATCTCCTGCCAGCCCCTGGACTAACCAGGGCTCTGGGCATTTAACCAGTGCTCAGACCCAAGCTGTAAGAGGTTTATTACACCAAAGGCTCCGAGCAAGAAGTGACCCAGAAAATGGCAATAAAGTCATCTGACCTTAAAAGAAAGCTCTGCATTTGTTCATGGTGCTTGTACTTGCTTTCGTTAGGCACTTACATCTCCTTCGGCGTGACAGCCATTCGCGCTCGAACCATATCCAAGGGGTAGGTTAACATGGCAGCTGTTGTGCCTGCCAGAGAGCCAGCAATGAATCGAGGAAAGGGTGTCAGCGCTCTAAAGTAAGGTGAGAGAAGAGACCAAACAGATCACCTGGAGATGGAAATACGGCCTGGCTTCTGAGCAGGGCTCTACTCTACCAGCTACTGAATCCCCTCCCTGCCTGGGCACCGACGAGAGCTGGGTGGTTGGGGCTGGGGTTGAACAGTTGTGCTTTGCCAAGTCAGAGGCGTGGAGCGATCCCTGCGGAGCACAGGCAGCCAGCCCGGGTGCTCGGACACCACGTGCCCAAGAGCAAGAGGCTCTTGGCCTCAGAAGGGAGAGGCTCAGATATCAGTGCAAGGCTGGATCCTGTTGCTTCTCCTGCAAAGAGAAGCTCTTTGTTTTGCCTGCTCACTCTCAGCACGGGGCTGTGCTAACCCACTGTCTAGGCCACTTCTTGCTCACGCCTCCAGAAGAGAGGGTCTTCTCAAAGATTTCCCCCACCCAAAACTGGAAGCTCAGCCCATTGCTTAGCCCCTCGCACGCCCCGTTCTAGAAAACCACCCCGAGAGGGGCCTGCAGAGCTCCGTGCCAACACGGAGCCGCCGCAACGCAAAGAAAAGGGCTCCTTCCTGCAGTCTAGAGTCCCTGGACCATTCCATGCTCCGCGCCATCCCAAGGAGCAGAGCCAGGCTGCCTCTTACTTTCCCTGGAAGCCGTAGTAACTGCCTAGGAGCTGCTTGTACTCCTCGTGCGCGCAGAACTGGATGGCGGCGTAGGGGACCACGCGGACCATGGTGGCCGAGTTCCCTCGCCAGAGGCTCCAGAAGCCCTCGTTGAGGTAGGTGCGGTAGATGAGCCGGTAGGCCTCCTGCGGGGACGAGCACAGGTCACACACGCACGTCGCGACAGCAGCAGCAAGAGCAAGAGCAGGGAGAGGTGACCCAACAGCTTAACCTCCCCGAACCTCCTCCCAGGTGCCCGCAGCGCGCGGGACCGGGCGCTTGGCTCACGCCTCCGACACCAGAACGGGGCCACTAGAGCACGTCTTTGGGGAAACTGAATAGATATGCTGGGCATAGAATCATAAAATCATAGATAATCACAGATCGTTAAGGTTGGAAGGGACCTCTAGAGGTCATCTTGTCACGCAGGGTCACCTAGAGCACGTGGCACAGGACTGCGTCCAAGCAGGTTTGAAGATCTCCAAAGAAGGAGACTCCACAACCTCTCTGGGCAGCCTGTTCCAGGGCTCTGGCACCCTCACTGTTTTACATTCAAGACAGCACCTTCATCTTCCCTCTGAGGGGGAGGCACACGGCTGGACTGATGTTTGTACAAACCCCTCTCAAGCCAAATTAATCTTCTTAGTATAAGACGGAAACGTTTGGATTCCACACATCAGCACAGCACACATGCAGCAAGACATGCAGCAAGGCACGGCCGCGCTCAGCTCCCAGGAGAACATTCCCTATAAACTTAGTGACAGCTCCGAGAGCAGCTGGGGACACAACGCAACTGCCAGGGAAGAAGATCTTGCAAAAGGGCCCTGAGCGGTGCCTCGGGATTTACTGTCCATGTCAAAGGGGGGACCTGGAGCACGAGTGAGGACTGAGGCTCCTCTGCGTGAGGTGCTGGACAAACATGTGAGGAAGAACGAGCACTGTCCTCAGGAGCATCGTGACCAGGGCGGCTTCCAGCCCTCCCCTGCGCTGCTTCGCCCTGAGCGCGGCTAATAAAACCCCAGCGAGAAAGTTCAGTGCAAACAGAGGTTGCTTTTAGGGCTATTACTACCATTAATCAAACGCATCAAGTCAACAGGAGACAGACACATCGCCTCACCTTGGCAGAAAATCTTTTTGAAGACACTAAAAAGAAAAAGTGAGCATTAGGTCTTGCAATATATTTACATGTATCAAATAAAACACACAGTCATTTTTATCTAAGGAATAAAATCAGAAGCAAAAGAATTAATGCAAGAAAAAAATAGAGCTTCTTTATGACAATGATTTTGGCATAGGTTTCCAAACTCCTTAGCAGACGACAAGCGCACTGCTGTGTTGCTATGAAAACGCTCCATCTCTGTCCCGCTCCTTGCTCTGAACACACACACACAGCCCCACGCAGGCTCGTTTTGGGGAGCCCTTCCACACTCGTGCGCTGGTTCCAGGTGGATGCCGGGACGCAGCGAGGGCAGGAGCGCCCAGCGAGGCCCCACGCCGGACGGCTCCATCCCAGCGCACCCAGACGAGCGCGCGGGCTCCCTCCTGCCCCCAAACTGCCGGGCCCACGTCGGGGGGTCCCGCACGGCTCTTGGAGCGGGATTTCTTTGGCTCACAGCAGCTGCTTTCAGCTGCATTCAGCTGCTGCATTTCCTTCCCACTGCAGGAAGGAAACCCAGGCTAAAACCCCAACAGCAACACTAATGAAACGTGCTTCCAATTAAGGGTCTATCGCACTTTCTTTCAAACTCCTTTGAGAACTGGAACCTCCCAAGCGTATCAAACAATCTCATGCAAATACATTTTTCCCCACGCTGCTCCTTTATGCAATTCAACTCTGTTTTTCCCTCCTCCTCTCTCTCCTTCACTAAGCAAATGCCACGAGTTCTGCAATGAGGAGAGAGCTCTTCTCCCACAGGAAACTTCTCCAGGCTCTAGTGCACGGAACCACCTTCCTCGCTCATACGACCCACGGAAACTGTCCCTCTTCACAGCCAGTGAAGCCATCCCAGAGTAAAAACCTTTATGAGAGCAAGAGTAGGAAACCCATTAGATACCAAACTGCTGTCGGAATAGGCAATTTTTAATCACATCCTTTGCAATGATCCAAACCAAACAGGATTTTTTTAATAAAACGTAGGCCTGCACAATTAACGGTGATTTACACAGACAGCTGTTGACTCACCCAATTCCGCAGCTCCCACCTCCGATCCCGACGCTTCCAACCTTACGTGACCCGCTGTCCGCGCGGGGGGAGCGCAGCCCGACCCGCGGCGCCGTGACGCAAACGGGGAAAATCACGTCGCACAAAAGTCAATTTAAAATTAAATCTCAGCCAGGGATTAGCTTAAACCTACCCAATTCATTTAATCTGCGAGGCCAACCACATTTAAATTTGTGGCCTGGCCAAATGTCTACTGTATTAACAGCCTGTTCTCTTCTTTTTGGGACAAGTGATGCAACTGACTGCACTTGCACCGAAACAAGAGCCCTTGCTGGGGCTGAATCCCAAACTCCATTAAGAGGATTTTCTACTCAAATCAGCTGAATTTCATTTCCAGTTATTCACTTTTACATTATGGGCTCCAGAAAGGGTTTTGTAATACAAAGGTAGTTTCATTGTCTCTTGCAGTTTTCATAATTAACTTCAATTCTAAACCAAAGCAATTTAGCTCAAACACAGCACAACTCTTACTAGAAAAGACCGTGTACACTTGAGCAAGCACATGCCAGCATCTGGCCTGCAGCAAGAAGCATCTCAGTCCCCTCCTCCCAGTTTCACATCTCCTCACATTCCTCCTGCTAAAGGGAAAGGAAATCACGCAGCTTCCCTCCGCTTGCCAGAGTGCTCGGAGCTGAGCGGACCCGGAGATCCCCCGTGTCACCACGCAGCTCCCTAAGCGCAGCCTTTGCAGCGATTTCTCCTGTTCAGCCCCAAACCCTCCCTGCACCGGGGCCCGCGGCCGCACGGCTCCCCGTGTCCCCAGGCAGCAGCACATGCAGCTCTGCACAGCAGCAGCAAAGCTCCTGCTGACTGCCAGGGGACGTGGATCCCGCAGCCGCGGCACAACGCGCGGCGACTGACACCCGCCACAGTCCTGCCGAGGGGTCTGAGCCCCGCTCTGCCGGGATAACATCCCTGCTCCATGTGCGCCGGGCTCCGCAGGGCAGAGCACACGGGACGGGCTGCCTGGAGCGACCAAAGCAGCTGCCTTGGATTCTGCTGACAGCAGAGCAGGGCTCTGCCCAAGGCAGCAGGACTTACCTTGAAACATGATTTTCGTCCGATCCAGCGGAGCTACTGCTGTTTTAGCAACAGCACCGGCCAGCGCCCCAGACACCAGGGAGTTGAGCACTTTCTTCTCCTCCTGTGTTCCCTGGAACAGAGCATCATTCAGCGTGACACAGTCAGCACTAACCAAAGCCTGGACTATTTCACCTTTGCTGCAGCATTTATCCCACTAATCAGTTATGAAATGGAATTTCCAGCACCGGAGAGAGAGAAAAGTGCAAAAAAAAATACTTGTAAGGGGACTCTGAAAACACCTTGAGGGATTATTAGTATATGAATGTTGAAATACAAATTACAAAGTAACAACATCACAGCCCACATTAAAATGAAACCTAAACATCAAGCCGTACCCTTGCCAGCCAGATAAGCGAGCTGTGCTCCGAGCACACACAAACACAGAGGTAAGAAACGTGCACACACACGAGAACCGGACTGCAGCCAAAAGAGCCTCTGCGCAGCCAGCTCAGGAGTTGTCCAAGGGAACTACAGTATATGTTATGGATCCTGCCTGACCTTCCCTGCAACAGACACAAAACAGCAACTGGCTGTTTTCAGACACTCGGTTTCTCTGACAAAATCCCTTCATGAAAGACTTCAGACAGCTAAAAATCAGCACCAGCATTTTGGAAATGCCAGCATTCCCTATTCCACAATAAATCGCAGGTCAGATCACAAAGAACAAAGATTAGACATATGCAGGTTCCAAAGCCAGCCTCCTCTTCCATGCACTGTTTCTTCCCTATTAACATTTCTAAAAGTTATCTCAGTAACTCCTCTTGCTTTAGCCATGCACAGAAAGTGAATTTCTCTCTTGCCCTCCTAGTTAACACATCAGCCTTATTTGTATATTATCCCCAAAGCCTAAGAAAGGTTTCCCACTATGATATACAGAATGGAAGTGCTTTTGTTATTGATGCTTCCGCCACAGCTCATGTTTATATGTATTAACTTCTTGCAACACATGGACGGAAAGCAAGTAAAAATCCTCAAATCTAACACCGTGAGCGCTATGAACTGAAAGACAAGTCAAGACAAGGCTGAAGAATGTTAACCGTTGATGTGCTTTGTGCCTTCATGGAGAAGCAAGGCACCATTTTCCTTTTCTCCTGCTGCTCCACAGCTAAAAGTTAATTTTTTTCTAAATGATAGACATTGTTTGATCGTTTTTCCCTTCCCGTCTTTGGTGCTGGGCGTAAGGACAGCTGTGCACCAGGGTACAGGCAGCACTGCCCGAATTTCAGCTTGTGTTACGGCTTTGGAGCAGCTTCATGTGAGCAGAGACCCTGACCTAAGTCAGAGCCACATACCGGGGCGCCTTCCCTTGCAGTGCTCCCACAAGGAATGTTGTTGCAGTGGCACGAGCAGGGAAACCAGGGCTGGGGCTGTGTTCCCAGCCCTGCGCTGAAGACACAACAGACAGGACCTTGGACCTGCTGCGCCGTGCAGCCTCTTCCCAAACAATCCCGAGCGCCCGGGGCCGCGCGGCTCCCGCTCTGCATGGGCACGGTGGCTCCTGGGGCCTCCTCCTGCTCTTACCTCTGCTGGAAGATGAGCTGGCACAGCGGGCTCCACATCCTGCCGTTTGAAATCCACTTGAGCTGCTCTCACACCATTACCCATACCAGGCGCACTCGCAAGCGGGCAGAAGAGTCACGGCTCCTGCATTGGCAACAAGAGCAAAGCGAGAGGTAGCGTTAAAAGCAGAAAATACCCAGTTCATAAAAAGGCTTGTGCAGGAGAGAAGAGCGCCCTACTCCAGATGCCATTTCTGCAGGAAAAGCCCTATCCCAAGCAGCCAGCCGAGAGCATTTCTTCCCTTTGGGATACAAGTTTGGACGGACGGGAAGGAGGGGTGCTTTGGCACTCTATAGAATTAGTGCCACTCCTCATCAGCATCCTTTCTTACCCGCAAGGAACTCGGCTGCAAGTCCCATTAGCCCTGGCAGGGGGGTCAATAAGCAGCTCACTGCATCTCTCCCCAGCCTGCGCTTCCGCTGCAGGAGGGACATTGAAACGCCCGGCTCCTGGGGACAACAAACTGCCCATGACCTCTAGGAGCAACGCAGCAGATTCTGCCCCGGCCTCTTCCATCACCTACAGGAGGCTCCCAGCTGCTGCTCAGCCTGCTCAGCAGTTAGATATGGGAGAACATGTGCAGAAATTTAAAACCCAGGCATGGAAAAGGGAAAAAATAGCCCCAGCAGCGCCTCCGAAAGCCTGGCATAAGCCCTGGAGGTTATTTTGGGAAGCTGGCGGCTCCAATGGCTCCCGCGTGCCGCCGGGGCTATTTTGCCGATGCCGGCGAGGGGACCCCACGCGGGAGCTCCCTGCTGCTCCGCGGCCGCGGCGCGCGGATCCTGCTGCAACGCGTGTCCTCATGTGCCTCGCGAAGGAAAGGTCAGTCTAACCCCAGCTACGGCTACACACGGATAACATCCAAACAGCAGCTCCGCTTGGGCACCTGATTTTCTACTGTTTCTGCTTTCATGATTCGAGTTTTTCATCCTCTAACATCCCGAAGTGAAAGAGATGAAGTTTGAAAAACTCACACGAGCACAAACGTCTCCAAACAAGGAGATTGCTGTTATACCCTTAGTCACAAATGGGTTAGAACTGTAAAGATGGGTTTTCTATGCAACAAGATTGCCCAAAGAGTCAGTGTTTCCCACTCGTCAGCCACCTTTCAAGGAAGGTGATATTAGGAAATCGGAATTCCGGGCCTGCTCCCCTGTCAAGCAAGTCGCTTCACCTCTGCCCTCAGCTGGTGCTCAGGAAGCCTGCGGCACAACGGCCTGCTTGCTTGGAAAGCGTTTCCTAAGCTTCTTTCTTTCCTTTCTAACAACCTCTAGACATTACACGCTTGTCAGCACCTTTCATACTTGCTGACCTATTTTTCCCCCCACATCGCTCTCATAAACAAGTGCCAGACTTCACTTTCCGACCCCCTTGGTTGCAGCAGAGACACTGCAGCAAAGGCAGAGGCTCGGCGGCCGCGTCTGGATCCGCGCACGGCCGATTTGTGACGACGGCGCCGGGCGCTCCCATGCGCTCACTCCGAGGAGGCCGAACACGCAGGGCTCCTTCACGGCAGACACCGCTCGCGAGGGCGCTGGGAAGACGCATCCCAACGCGCTCACAGCTCCCACGGGTGCTTTTGCACACACGAGCTCTCGGGATGTTGCTCCGAGGGCAATAACTCAAAATGTTAACGAAAGGCAACATCTGGGAGCCCAAGGCGTGACCGCAACTGCAAACAGCAGCACTGTTTGCACTTGGGAAGTTTTATGGGAGCTCGGTCGCATCAGACTGTGCAAACTACAGTTCCCAGCAGGATCAGGGCTGAAGCCGGCTCGAAACCCTACGGAGCAGAGCGTTTCTCTACGCAGTCCTGAGGAACACGGGCTCTTGGTTGCTTTTACTCTGTAGTCATTTCTTTTCCTTCTCACTTCACATATCTGAAAAAATTATTAGTAAAAATAAATAAATGGATAACCTTTAAACAAAAGCACAGAAAGAATCAGAGGTAGAAATATTATCCCTAGCCATCTCAGTTAAAGAAATGTAGGTCACAATATCAGATTTGTCTCTGCTGAAAATAAAACCACAAAAATAGAAGTCATACTGAAGAGCTCAGGAATGCAACACATGTTGGCTGTAAAACATGATTTTGAAACATGATTGAGAAAGAGATAACTAAAACAAAACTAGTCAGGAAATTTTAAATACCAAAATGATGTTATTAAGCCTGAAATATTTTAGAATATGTGCATGCATAAAGATGATACCCGCTACTCAACAATATTCTCTTTGATCCTATTGTGAGATGTTGTTCTTTTCAGTGCCTGGTGCCCCCACACCTGTGTGGATGCTTGATTTTGTACACATGCTCTGCATGAACACAGGCCTCAACCTGCAAATTAAAAGATACTAAATGCTGCTTTTACATTTCGGCCTCTGCATTCGCTCTCTGCTAAGGAATACAGTTTTATGCTGGAGTTGTGCTGACTCCTGGCTTAGCTGAATCACCAACTCCTGCCTGCTCTGGCCAACGACGGAGCCACCGAGGAGGAGGTTTGCTTGAAAGATTCGGTGTCAGTTCGTAGGGCTGGGCCAGCAGAAACCAAACATCACTTTGCATCAGCATCAACCTGCGCTGTTCACGAAGCCATCTGCAGAAACCCAGCATGCAGCAGCTTGACTTTTGAAAAAATCATGGTATTTTGCACAGCCTCGTCCACAGTCATTACTGATGTTTAAGAAGCCACAATAAAGGGGAAAGTGAAATAGCTGCAAATTAGATTTACTCCTTACAACTCATCTCTGCCTCACTTAGATTGTAGCTACGCGAGTCCCTGCTGCTCATCTGGACCCCAGCTCTTCAGGACCACGCGCCACGCAGCTGCAGAGCGAAACATTCCCATCTAGGGGAATATATAATCCGAAAGCAAAGCTTCTGGTCAAGGCAGGTCCAGAAGTTAGGCAGGTTTAATGAGTAACACACACTGGGCTTTCACAGCAAAATTCCTGGTCGCTGATTCCAAGCACGGAGCAGCTCTTCCAGCGGGCAGCCCTGGCCGTGCAGACGCTCCGGCCGCGTCGCTCGCGCAGAGGCTCCGTGTTCACCGCCCAGGGCGCCGCACGGGGCAGCCCGCGCCCTCCCTGTGTCGTGCTCGGGCAGACTGCGCCACGACGTCTCCTTCGAGCCCTGGGATCCCTTCCAGGTGGCCCGTCCTGCTCTGGCAGCTGCACAAACACCCGTGGGCCCCAGCGGGATCCCGGCTCCGTGCACGGAAACCAGAGCGCTGCTGCTCTGCCCCTCCAGCAGCGCTGGATGAAGAGCTGGACAGGTTCAACCAAGCTGCCAAACCGCCTCCCTGACAAGACGTTCTGCTTCTCTTGTGGTGGTTTTGATTAAGAGCACAGCTGAGATGCAGTCGAGCTATTCGGGTGACAAAAGCAACCAACGAGGGAGGACGTGGCGCAGGCCGGTCCCCGCGCGTCGCCAAAGGCCACGGGCGACGGGACAGCCACAGAACAGGAGCTCGAGCTCTCCAAGCCTCTTGTGGACACAGCCATGATGCAGTTCTGGCCATTTGATCGTATTTTAAATTACACCATCTTAACATAATTCGTTTCTCAGCCAAAGAACCGATGAGTTTCAAAGACCAACATCACCAACTAAGGGATAAGGCCAAATTCTCTGGTTATAGCATTTAAAATTAAAATCACACTGCCAAGCAAAGGCTTGCAGATTATTACACTTTTACTATTGAACAAGTTTTGCAACTAAACCCTATTTAAAAGGTGAACTTCGCACCATGGAGACACCTCGTCCTGGAAACCCCTCCTGCATGCGTTTGGCCAGGGAGCGACGTGGGCTCCCATTGCAGCCCGGGCTGCAGCTTCCCGGGACGGGAGGCAGAGGGAAGCAGCAGAGCTGGTTTCCTCCTCGCTGTTGTTATCTGCGCAGACCTTGGAGCGCTGGAGAGGACGGGTTCCTCCCTGCTCAGCCGCAAACATCGCAGCCGCTCCCAAGCTGCCGGAGCTCCGAGCACCTGCCAGCAGCAAAACACACGAAAACGGGGCCGGCCGGGGCGCTTCCCACACCGCTGCGGAGTCGGGAAGCAGCAGCAGCCCCAGCATCCAGCCCCGAGAGCGACTCGCAACGCGGCATTGCCGGAAAACATGTTTGCCTGGCAGTCCCGAGTGGAATTTAGACCTGCCACAGAACACCAAGATTTCAGAAAGAATGTCACTGATCCAGCAAGGACAGCAGATACCGCAAAGCAAACAGCACCAGCGGCTGAATGCCAACGGCAGCTATTTCCTAAGGAATATTTGCCTTCTCCTTGGACAGCCCCGGCAGGAACTATAAAGTCGTTTAGAGTTTTGAGCGTGGGACAGTCATTCCAGGTAATGCCAAAGCCACACAGTTTCAGCAGCAGGAGCAGCGGTGACTTTATGCCACGCGACCTGCACTGGCTTCATGAGACGGGCAGGAAAACCACAGCTCTGCTACCTGCTCCTCTTGAATCACCACCGCAGCGGCGCGGCTGCTCCCGCGGCGGCGACACGAGGACAGGCAGCGGCGTACGGAGCGTATTCAGTCTCCATCCAGGCACTGGGAGCCGGGAGCGGGAAGCTTCGGTGCACGGGCGGTTGCTGCAGCCCTGGCAGTGCCTCCCTTCCACCCAAGGGTGGGCTGCACGTCGGTACCTCCACAGCAATCGCACACACGTGACCCCCAACTGGAATCCCTCATGAGTTCACTGGGACAGAGGGCAACAACCTGCCCAGGAACAGCTGCAAAGCGCGTGGACTGAACGGTGACGC